AGACCTTGCCGAAAACATGTTCGTCAACCCATTTGTGTTCTTATAAACAACATTAGTTAGCGAGCGAAGTTTGTTTTCTATAAATCCGATAGTAAAGGCTCCATAGACACACGATAGGCTGGCATCTGTTTACGGACTTGCCTCATCCTGATAGACATGTTCGTCAACCCATTTGTGTTCTTATAAACAACATTAGTTATGCTGCGAAGTTTGTTTTCTATAAATCCGATAGTAAAGGCTCCATAGACACACGATAGGCTGGCATCTGTTTACGGACTTGCCTGTTGCATCCTGATAGACTGTTGAAACTCCGCCCACAATGGGGAAGACTACACGTTGTTTTGGCTAAGCTGCATATGTAATTAGCTGGAGCCCTTGTACTCGGAAGGTAAACAAACGAGGTTATTTCTAATGCCAGTAGGATGCCCAATTGGTGGTCTATTACCATCCAGGCATGCGAGATCAACGGAACAACTGAGACCCACATTGTCTGGCGACACCCACCACACAAAAGAGGAACCGAGGCTACTGCATATGCCGCTACTAAGCTTGCTCTGTACAATGTCTGTACAGTGTTATGGCAGGTTATTTGTTGATATATACATATATAAGAACAAAGTGAAAGCCAATTATATAGGCTTCACCACATTACGGCAAAAATAACAGTGTGTATGAAGCAAATTTGAGATGGCAACGAAAACAACGTAAATCTAGGCCATCTGTTGGGGGGCCCTTCATGGGTGGCCAAAGGCTTGGGTGGTTCTACTTTCCCGGAGGACAGCGAAGGCCGTCTACGGACACATACTAGTTAATCCTGGGCAACATTTGCCGCCTCAATAACTAACTAACTAACTAACTAACTAACTAACTAACTAACTAACTAACTAACTAACTAACTAACTAACTAACTAACTAACTAACTAACTAACTAACTAACTAACTAACTAACTAACTAACTAACTAACTAACTAACTAACTAACTAACTAACTAACTAACTAACTAACTAACTAACTAACTAACTAACTAACTAACTAACTAACTAACTAACTAACTAACTAACTAACTAACTAACTAACTAACTAACTAACTAACTAACTAACTAACTAACTAACTAACTAACTAACTAACTAACTAACTAACTAACTAACTAACTAACTAACTAACTAACTAACTAACTAACTAACTAACTAACTAACTAACTAACTAACTACTAACTAAACTAACTAACTAACTAACTAACTAACTAACTAACTAACTAACTAACTAACTAACTAACTAACTAACTAACTAACTAACTACTAACTAACTAACTAACTGACTGACTAACTGCGGTCAACTACGAAAGATAGTTGAAAACGGTTGCGTTCGCGACAACAATTCTACTCACCCGCGTGCTAAGAACCAATGTCTAACTGACTACGATACCAGGGCATAATACAAACATAATATAACATAAATCGTTTCTGATAGAACACACATCCAGCTCTCCGAAAATAACCGGTTACTCGGTCGACGTCGCGGATTGTGAAGTGAAAAGTGTTGAACATGGCCACTAGTGATTACTGTAAGCTCAGAGATTTTGTGTTGGGTTCGGCTACCTTTTCCGACGCCGAGCCCGAGCACTGTGTGATGCGGAACAGAGGAGCAGTCACAGGCTACACAACCACATGTGCCACAGAACCTGTGCAGCATAACATGCTCTTGCTTAGTTAAACTGTGACGAGGATATTTTCGTAATGCGCTACTCATAAGGTTGCTGAAAACTCCTCGGCAGCCTACGATCGGTTTCGCCTTTTTTGGGGCTCATCAGGTAGGCGTAGTCCCCGAGTTTCCGTCAACCTTATGTTCTACCTGAAACCAAATTGCACGAAATCAGCGAAATATACTCGTTTGCAAACTAAGTTGGTTTTTTGAGAGACTCACCTAAAACCCAGCTGAATCTCTCGGTTTGATGTTTTCAGGCGACGAAGATGGTAGCCAGGGTTGTGTCGACTATTTGCTGTGTCGCGCGATGCCCTTGACTATCGGATACAGCAGCTGAAATGCTTCGAAACTGGGCAACTAAATTTGAGTGACCCCGATAGCCAACCGGCAGTCTAATCGAAATTTGTCTGGAATTGGATATTTCGACCGGATTTTGACGATTTACTGGTTCATTTCAGTCGAGTTAAAGGAACTAAAAGAGTTTTTGGCAATGTGTCTTCACCATCAGCATTCAGATAGATTTTTGTGACTCCATCATGAGCCATAAAAGCAGTGCGTGGGGCTGCGGTAAACCTACTACAACATTTTCACTGTACTTTCAAAGCGGCAATGCATTCTGGTTGTGCCCTATTCTTGGGCCAATTTTCGCGCAACATATAGAGGCATAGGAGTCATGATAAAAGTTTTCAATAAACCCTGATGAATATCTTCGTCACAGTTTTACCAAACCGAAGTGTATTACACTGTAAGTGTTATTTGGCGTATGCTCATCTGATTGCCGTTCGGTTCCTTATCGCACAGTTCTAGGTGCAGAGAAGCCGAATCAATCGAAACCATTCTATTTGTGCCGCTCGTCGACTTCTCTTTTACGCGTTAGGAAATACCTCGTTCACTAAGCTATCTCTTACACAAGTAATGAAACAGGTGTCTCCTCAACGAATGAATTAAACGATGCCTACGGGGAACAGTTGATCCCATTTGGTGAACATTGAGCAGTCTGTCTGGGTCACAAACTGCTAGCGGAATCTGAACAGACAAATCTGAAAATTGTTGAACATCAAAGTTTGCTCACTTTTTCCCCACGAGGAAGCCTATGGGGAAATAAAACCGGGTGCGGTATTTACATTTTTGGAATATAAGACAGCAGATTGTTACTCACCAACAGGCATTCATGTTCGGTCGTCCTCTTCATGTAAACTTCTCACGCGTTCCGCTCAGCAACTAATCTTCAATGGAACTAATTCCTCGGATGTAATCAGGTTATCCTACCACAGAGTTATTTTGAGCATGGATTCATTAATATGCCAGGGATGAAACATTTGGGGTGGACAATTTCTGCTTCGTGTGTCAAGCGTACTTTATCCAAACGGTAGAATCAACTAAGTGAGCACCGTCTGTCAGTTTAATTCATTATCGATTTTCATGAAATTCACTTAAACAGTTTGCCCAGACAGAGCAAGTATGAACTGACCTTCCGCCTTCCCCTCGCAAATCAACGGAAGATTAGGGGAAGTCACCAAACAATCACCTCTTAGAGGGTATGAATTCACCGACGATAATTGGCAATCATCCACTACTACTTTTTGTTCACCGAAAATGGTACGTCACTGACAACGACGGCTAGACAGATCGTCTCCCAGAACAGCAGCATCATCAGTAGGCAGAGAAAACTTTGCACTCGATTTGAGGTGAAGTAGACCAGAAAGCCGCCAAGCGTGGATACCTGATATCTCATATTACAATGACTATGTGGATTTGTACACGGATTTTTGCTTCAATACTGCTCTTCTTGGAAAAGAACTGGGTTGGCTTTGGTGATGTTTATTTCGATCTACTGCCGCACAATCATCTTCGGTCGGTTCCGGAATGCTATCAGCCTACTTGCATTTTTCGATCTAAACAAAATGTCCAGTGGTAATCTGCCCAGAGAGATTGTTTGATGGGAAAGTCCACACTAGTTCTTCTTGTGCGAGTGAGGTTGTATTGCGTGTGCTGACAGTGGTAGTGCTAACAGTGTTTCCCTGATTAGTAGTCAAAGGTTTGCGATCTAACTGCTAAGCTCGACGGACAATTCATCAACACCCCAGCTACCAATGTTCGGCAACATTGCTAAGAACCGCTTCCTCGGAAACAGTCAACAAAACAGTGAATAGAACCGTCAACTATCAAGCAGCATTTATGGTAAAACGTTGTTTGGTTCAACTCACAATACAGACTTTGCAATCGGACTCAATGATATCTGGTTTGATGATGAACCTCTCCTTGTTCTCCGGACGACAAGGTAAACATGATCGGCAACGGATGGAGTTGACTGAATTTGTGGGGAGAAGGGGGGAGGAGGAAGAAGAAGGAAATTGCTTCACTTTAATGTCGGACACACCAGGGTTGGACCAACCGATTGATATTGGGTTGATAGATTCACAACATCCGTGGGTGCTGTTAAAAAATCATGCATTACATGAGAGATGTATTTCATGTTCGACTATTCATATCGTCTGCATGAAATCCGTTTCGTGTTTCGCCTCCAGTGTACAAATGTCAGTCATACCAAGTTTGCAATAACTGTCAAATATCGCCGTATGAAGGTACATCAGGGGGAAGTCACCAAACAATCACCTCTTAGAGGGTATGAATTCACCGACGATAATTGGCAATCATCCACTACTACTTTTTGTTCACCGAAAATGGTACGTCACTGACAACGACGGCTAGACAGATCGTCTCCCAGAACAGCAGCATCATCAGTAGGCAGAGAAAACTTTGCACTCGATTTGAGGTGAAGTAGACCAGAAAGCCGCCAAGCGTGGATACCTGATATCTCATATTACAATGACTATGTGGATTTGTACACGGATTTTTGCTTCAATACTGCTCTTCTTGGAAAAGAACTGGGTTGGCTTTGGTGATGTTTATTTCGATCTACTGCCGCACAATCATCTTCGGTCGGTTCCGGAATGCTATCAGCCTACTTGCATTTTTCGATCTAAACAAAATGTCCAGTGGTAATCTGCCCAGAGAGATTGTTTGATGGGAAAGTCCACACTAGTTCTTCTTGTGCGAGTGAGGTTGTATTGCGTGTGCTGACAGTGGTAGTGCTAACAGTGTTTCCCTGATTAGTAGTCAAAGGTTTGCGATCTAACTGCTAAGCTCGACGGACAATTCATCAACACCCCAGCTACCAATGTTCGGCAACATTGCTAAGAACCGCTTCCTCGGAAACAGTCAACAAAACAGTGAATAGAACCGTCAACTATCAAGCAGCATTTATGGTAAAACGTTGTTTGGTTCAACTCACAATACAGACTTTGCAATCGGACTCAATGATATCTGGTTTGATGATGAACCTCTCCTTGTTCTCCGGACGACAAGGTAAACATGATCGGCAACGGATGGAGTTGACTGAATTTGTGGGGAGAAGGGGGGAGGAGGAAGAAGAAGGAAATTGCTTCACTTTAATGTCGGACACACCAGGGTTGGACCAACCGATTGATATTGGGTTGATAGATTCACAACATCCGTGGGTGCTGTTAAAAAATCATGCATTACATGAGAGATGTATTTCATGTTCGACTATTCATATCGTCTGCATGAAATCCGTTTCGTGTTTCGCCTCCAGTGTACAAATGTCAGTCATACCAAGTTTGCAATAACTGTCAAATATCGCCGTATGAAGGTACATCAGCCCGTGTTTTTTTTCTCCAGGCGATGGGAGAAAGTCTACAATGTGTTGATTACAGCAGCAGTTCATTTATTGATTAGTGCGTGGGACGGTTAATTCAAAGCAGTAACAGTTTGTCCCTAACGTCCCTCAGATATTGATCAAATCAGTGTAAACTTACCATTACTAATGCTACATCCGGGATACCCAAATAAGAACTTGACTCAGTTAGACTTTCGGTGCTGTGAATGAAGCCCGGAAAACCCCTTTATGCCTTTTTGTTCTTTTGTTTTCATTTTGACGCCTGCTAACCGGAACACACTTAAATGTTGCAGAATGTTCAAGCCTGTAACAAATCTCATGGCGTTTTCCTATTTCTTGGAGTTCGAATAAACCATGAAGTTTAAGTGCACTGGGTATGTCCAACGGGTAGTTATGCTCAGAAAAGCTAAGCAGTTGTCTCGCTTTTCGAACACATCGTACGGACTAGCAGTTTTAATGACAACTTGAGACGAAGCAGGAAGCTCACGCGGGTAAAGCAAATTCCCTCCTCCTTGCGAAACATACAAATGCGTTGCCCACGTGATCCTCCTTACTGCGTCTATCAATTCACTGTCAACTTTGCTTTGCTGATGAAATCTGTAGGTGTCTGATGCATAGCACTAAACGACGGAGCGGCGTTTCGATGGGAACATCGGAATAGCAACGTGAGGCCTTGGACAACCACATCGGGACCTCCGAGTGCACTAGCTAATATTGAAATCTGCGCACAAGAAAAACTTGAAGCAACAGTACGGTATGGACAGTCCTTCGCTTCACCACAAGTTGGTTTATTACTAGTAAATGAGAAAAACGTGCAAAGGAGCTTTGAATATGAAAGAATCAAGATATTTTCAACGCTAGAAGGAATAGTATCCACAGGTTTCATACTCTTTAAGACCGGTCAGGAGCCCTTACCACGATTTCTAAAATATACGCTGGAGGGTTTGTTCGTTTCTATTCGTTTGCTTCATCCAAGAGAGCAGTGGAA